ACACGGAGACATTTGGACAAGAGGACACCAAACAGCAGAAGAACACAGGGAGACATTTGGACAAGAGGACACCAAACAGCAGAAGAACACGGAGATCAGAATCAACCTTTATTGTCACTGCACAGAAGGACAACAAAATTGCATTTCAGTAGAGCCGTACCAAGAAAACAACATGGGTAGACGGGGTGCCTGAGGCTGCAGCCTCATGTGAAGTGCTGCCCTTTTCCTTTAGATAAGGAAAAGGGAAAACATGAGGAAAGAGGTAAATAAAAAGAAATATCTCATACAGTGTCCTTGACGGGACACAGTGTGAGGTTGCAAAAAATCCTCAGCACAAGAAAAAACATACTGGTGACAAAGGCATGTGGAATGGGTGAGGGTGGGGTCCCAGCACAGGCCGCCCAAGTGAGCGACGCAGCCACTGATGCCTTTGCATCTACCTAGGTTGTTGCACCCGGAGAGCAAAATGAGGGGGGCCAGCGAAGACTGAATTTGAGGGGAAGTAGTCCACGAACACTGTCCAAATACTGCCCCCCCCACCCCCAGCCATAGTCCTGATAAGTGATGGTGCAGTGTTCATCAGCTGGCTTAGTAGAGGTCTGACACAGGTCCAGACATTTGGACAAGATGGCACCCAACAGCAAAACACCGGTACATACTGTATGTGGACAAGAGGACACCCGCAGGTCCAACAGCAGACCACATGAAGATATTTAAAGGGTATGGATTATATTTTATGTATGGGTATATTTTATGGAGATAAAACAAGTTAAAAAAATCTGTTTTAATAAAGTTTTTAATAAAAAAAATAAATAAATAAATAAATAAAAAAAAAAACTTTGTTAGAAAATAATTTTGGACATCATGGATGAAAATCCACCGTAGCAGCAGGTAATAATGTAACTTCCTGGACAGGTGTTCATGAAACTCCCAGTATACCTGCAGCTCAGTGACTCTTGAGGCAACCTGATTCAAGATGGCCACCACAGAAAACAAACATGTTTGTACGGATGTTGAGCTGGAATCTGGGGTGGCAACTGAGAGTCATCCCCAACACAGACTCTGAGGGCTACTTGATGGTCACTCAGGCAGCGGGCGATAAGCATTCCTTCAGGGAAGGCTACTCTTTAATCAGCTGTTGTCAGGTTGAGGAGGAGGAACAGTCTGACTTTGGACCCAGTGAAGGTTCTCAGGTTCTCACCACAGAACTGGACTCAAACATCGGTTCCTGCAGGGTGACACTGTAAAGGCAACAGGTTAACAGGAGGGAAACCCAGACATCTTTTTCTCCAACTCCTCCTGGAGGTCTGGCTTGGGGTCTTCTCCCAGAGGAATTTGCTCAGAAACCCCACAGAGGGAGGCACAAGGAGGCCTAATCAGAGTCTGAACCTCAGAGAACTCCTCAAGGAGGAGGAGCAGAACTCTTCTCTGAGCTCCTCCTCCAGACGATGGAGCTCCTTCTCCTGATCTCTGAGGGTGAGCCGGGGCTCCCTAGAGAAGATAATCAATCATTCACCTGCTTGGACCCAGGTTCTGGTTCATCAGTTCTGATCCAGACCTCCTGACTGCAGGTGATGGATGGAAGGAGCAGTGACTCCAGAGCTCAGCTCCTTACTCACTACAACAGACCGGAGCAACACACAAGTTAGTGCAAACCATGTTCCCGATCTGTGGGTCCACCTCAGTCAGAGCTCATCCGTCATCACCTTTAGATGATTGAACAAGTCTCATTTACAGATTGAGAATAATCCCACTGAAGGCTGTTAAAATCCAGGTTTACTGCTGAGTTAACAGATTATAATCTTTCAGGATTATCCAGTTAATCCAGCTCTTTGACACCGAGTGCATCTGACTTCTGTCATTTCTTTATTAGGAACAACTCAAATCAGTTCAGCCTCCTTCTGCTTCATCTGCGTCCTCTGTATGTCTGTCCAGATACTTCATCCTCCATCTGCTGCACAGGTGAACGTGTGAGTGTGACTACATGACTGACAGCCAGAGCTGGAGAATCCCTGCCTGTGGGGACGGGACTGGGTTCTGGTTCTGGAGCCAGGTGATTGACGTCTCTTCCGTGTGGATAATTCTCAACAAAAGAGGAGACTGTTGGTCTAATTTAGCTAATGGAGTGGGAACAAGCCGAGGAGTAAAGCTGGCACACGGAGACAGGCAGGAAGGCCTCCGGGGCGTTTAGAGTCGAGAGACGAGCCACGCTCAGGTGAGAACGTCAGCTGCCGATTGGTCCAACAGAACACCATAAAAAGCTCTGGTTCAGGTCTGAGGACCGCACAGAGACCAGGACTGTGGTTCAATTTGGACCGCATCACAATCAGGAAGTTCCTCCAGAGGAAAAATTGAAAACTCAGTGCTCTTCAGACAAAGAACATTAATTTTTGTTTTGATCCCAAAGAGGAACTCCACGAGATGACGCTGCAGAGGAGACACGTGCACAGGTGAAACACCCACATTAAGAAACTTAAACTCTTATAATCTTTCAGTGATGTTGGTTGTTTCACCGTTTCACAACTGACGGAACAAAACCCCTCACCCGCAGCAGGACTGCAATTGTTCTGATCTGGGTCCTGGTCTGGACCTCTCTCGGGCCTCCCTCCCCCGGCTGGGCGTCAGCCGTCAACCTGCGGTGCTTCATCGGCTGTGCGGTTCGAGAGTTCACCTTTCTGGCCAAGAAGCCCGGCTGTGGAGGGCGGCACATCACCACCGACGCCTGTTGGGGACGCTGTGAGACCTGGGAGGTGAGGAGGAGGGGGTCCCCCTCTGTAGGGGGTCAGCTGGGGAGGAGAGGGTGCTGCGTAAAGAATCAAACATGACATTCAATCTAAACATCTGAGCTGCAGCCAGGAGGACAACAGCCAGTGTGTCAAAAAGATGGACACAAGCTAGACGCTCAAAACTGGGACAAACTTAATGATTTGCGTTTGTCTCACTGAAGTCTGAGTGTTGAGGTGAGGACCATCGAGACGTGCAGCTTTGATCATTTTGTCAGAGCAAATGTAAGTTTCCACCGCAGTCTGTGAGAGGACCCGCCAGTCTGCGAGAGGTTCTGCAGTGACCGTCATGCAGCAGATAAATGACCTCTTCAGATTTTTAGATTGTATCAGAACCTTTTTCTAAACTCTGGAGCACTTGGGGGTAAATTGATCTGGTTTTTTTTTTTCCTCTCTCTAGAAGCCGGTCCTGGAGTCGCCCTTCATCGAGTCCTACCAGAGGGTTTGTACCTACAACCTGACCCGTTTGGTCACTGTGAAACTGCCCAACTGTAAAGCCAGCGTTGACCCGACCTACACCTACCCTGTGGCCCTGAGGTGTTCCTGTGGCGTCTGCCTGACCAGCACCACCGAGTGCACAACATCTGTCTGAAGTGACAACTGGTTTTTCTTCATCTTCATGTAGAAATCTTTCAGTCAAGCAAAAGTCTACTTGGATTTAAATGGCTCCATTTAGCAGCTAATGTCCTTCAACAGCTTTTAAACAGAGCAGTTTAATCTGTTCAGACCAATTAATTTATATTTACAAAAGTAAAACCAGTAAATTCAGTTAAATATTTGTCTAAAAACATTTCAGTACAGTGGTGTGATTTGATGGACGGGGGATGCCGTTTCATCTGTTAGTCATATTTAAACATTTAGATTGTTTGAACTGCAGCATGTTTAAATGTGGAGTTCCTCAGGGCTCCAGTTTCAGTCCTCATCTTACCTGAACCTTAAATGCTGACTTTTATAATAATCCGTTTCCATTTAGATAATTATTGGTTTGTTTAAACAATAAAAGCATTTATCATCAAACTGTGTCTAAAACAAATACCAAAGTCTTGTAGATCAAAAGGAATTTCTTTGGTCTTTAACTTAAAACATAATTCTGTTTAATAAATAAAACATTTAATTGTTGACGGTTTGTGTTTATTTTTTAAATATATAAATTTGGTTAAACTTTCTCAGATTAAAATAAACTGTTTAAACTTGGATTGCTACATTTCATCATTTAAAAGTGTAAACGTGCAGTTACATGATCACCCACCCTTTATGGTGAGAAATACCAAATATATCAAACACTATTATTTAGGACATCAGACATTTTCTGCATCATGTGTGAGACACATTTACCGTACAGCACCGGGAGTTAAACTAAAATCTGTGTTTGGATTCTCTGAGTTTTCATTAAAATAAATAAATAAAATTACAAAAAAAGCAAAAAACAAACCCACTATCTTTATTAAATTTAGGAAAATTATTAATATCTATTCACTTTAAAGCCATTCAGATTTTAAACTCATACCACTACCCCTGTCCTGGTTCAGGTGGACCAGAGACCTTCAGACAGAGGTGAATGAAGAGTCCTTCTAGAACCCCCAGAGACGGACTGTGGAAGACTCTTGGAGGGTGGCTGGACTCATGAGGTCTACAGCTGGACTCTCTGGATTAAAATGCTGATTGTTTGGTCCATCTAGGCCTCTACAGAGGTCTGAAAACATCCTCTGAAGAGAGGTTTCACAGGTCCAGGTGGTCTGCTGGGTCCTGTTCTGGGTCTGGTATCCTGTCTTGGTTCAGGTGAGGTTTGACCCAAAAATGCAGACAAAGAAACAAATATAAATAAAAACGATCTACCTTACAGCTGGAGAAGAACCTGGACATGCGTGGAGCCGGACCAGAAGACTGAGGGTCTGGGAGAACTCTAACGAGCAGAGTGGACACACCTGAGCCTAATGACAAAAGGGAACAGGTGTGAGTGGGCGGGGCAGAAGCTGAGGAGCAGGAAGTGACTGAAGGAAGGTGAAAATAACACAAAGGAGCAAAATTAAAAACCACAATCACAAAAAATAACCCAAACAGGACCAAAACTCAGCGAGGACATTCTGAGGAGCACAAGAGGTTTAAATGATGGTTCAGGTCCAACTCATTTAACTTCCCCGTTCTTTACCCCGTCATGGCTTAAAAATCCTAAACTCAATCCTTATTCATTAAAAACATCTAACCCTGAGCATGATGCCATCAACCTGTTTATTTGTCATGAAGATAATCCACTTCCTGGTGTCTGGTTTCATCAGTCAGGATCAGAGTAAAAGCACGAGTCGAGTGATTTGTTGCAGCTCAAGGAGAAAAACAAAATATTTCAACAGTAATAATAAAAATCAGCAGGAGAGCTCAGGACTAAACTATTTTTATAAACGTTTCAGTGAAGAGGTTTTCTTCCTCTGTCAGACTCAATGCATCAGAGCGGACCCCCACTGCTCCAGCCTTTAAATGCCACCTCATTGGGGGGTGGGGGGTGGGGGGGGCACAGGAAGTCAAACATTAATGTCACCCGAGCATCAGGACGTCCTTCCTGCTGCTTCAGCCGTTACATGATCCCTCTCAGGCAGCAGAGACACAAACACAGGTGGTGTCTGAAACTGGAGCCATGTTGGAAACATCTGGGGTCACATCTGTGTGAAGGAATCCTGTCACACGCCACCTTCGTACCAAACATCTGTCAGCTACACCAGACTACAGCTGTAAACCCGACTCAGTTAAACGTGTTTGTCTGTCTGTTCGATTAGTCGTGGCAGCCATCTTGAATCGTCTTGACTCCAACGTGTTTTGTTTACATCAGTGTGTTCTGACAAGTTCTTTAACTGAAGGAACCAGAACCACAAAGCTCGTGAGTAACTGTGGAGGACGGATCATCGGCGACCCGTTTGTATATTTAGAAGCAACATATTTGGAGCTCGGAGCGTTAATGAGCAGATGAACTCACGAAGAGCCAAAGTTTGGTCTGAATCTGTGAAATCTGCTTTTTACCAAATGTTCCTCAGCTGTGATGGTCGTCATGGAGATGCTAGGACAATTTGCACCACAACTCTCACCACTTTCTCTTTTTATTCTAAAAACTTATTTGGCTAAAATATTTAAAGTGTGTTTCTCCAGATTGTCAGGAAGTAAAGCCACGAGCTTGTGCTGGCAGAAGAATCTGAACCAGGAGGTCCAGAGAACTCTGTATCTTCTTCCACCCGTGCGTCTCTGCTGTAGGACTGATGGTTCTGTATTCAACCCCCCCCCACCCCCAGAGGTCAGAGGTCACCCATCCAAACCCTCATTGACTTCCATTATGCATGAGCTTCCAAACAGGGGGGCTCTTTTTTAACTACCGGTAGTTATATCTCCTGCAAATCACACATGAATGCTCCCAGGTCAAGAGCGTGCACGTTGAGCACTGAGCCACAGCTGAAACTGAAAATTCAAAGTTAAAACAAGCAGAACAGGAGCTAAAGTAAAAACTGTTGACGTCAATGGAACCGAAGAGGTTAAAGTTGAATAATTTGAAGTTACACAAATCGCCTCTCCTGAACGAGCTGAACGTTTTGATTTAAGAACAGTTGAAACAGCTGGATGTATGTTCCGATAGGAACGTTTTTCCACCTGAAACGATGGATTTCTGCGGCCTCTCCTCGTCAGGATGAACTGCAGGATGGAACCACAAACAGAACCGTCAGGATGACTGGCACCACAAAGGAAGTCGAAGGAAACATTCACACTTTGCACCAATTAATGTGTTTTCCCTCTGAATGTGTCGGCGCTCTGTTTCCATCTGTTCCAGGAGCAGTGAGGAGGCGTTAATGGGGGAGCGTGTTCTCCTTCTTGGCACTCAAATGAGGCTCGGCTCAGACTTGTGGAGGCTTCAGACTCCTCGAGCGTCCGGTGGAAAGCTGCAGGTACACGAGCTGCTCCCGTCAGCAGCAAACCAGGCGTGAGGATTCTCCCTCTGACGGTAATTAGCGCCAAAGATTTGGAGCTTTTTACACCAAAACCAGAAGCTGGTGAAGCGTCTGCCTGGATCAGCTGCACGGACTAATGCATGGAAACATCGAACAGAATCAACATTTTAATGAAGTCGCAGCTGTCAGATCACCTCACTGAGGGGTTCAAAGTGAACTAATATTTCATAGTAAATGTGTATACATGTGTGTGTGTGTGGGTGGGGGGTGTCCAAATGAATATTGTTTTAAATGTGAGGGGTGCACGTCCCCTTCACATATAATGGATGCAACGCCTATGAGAAGAGGGAGACAGAGCAAAGAGATAGATCCTGGAGACTTGAGGGAGACATTCATCCACATCCTGGTGCCCCTGGAGGAGCCAGAGGGGGTGTGGGGGCGGTTATGTCTAGGCTCTAGGCCTTGGCCATTATACCACTTCTGTACATTAATATTACCATTCATTTTCATTTTTGGTCACCCTTTAATCATTTGAGGAAACTACACTTCTAAGCAAAATAAGAACTAGAAAGTATAGTGTCCTCAAGTGAGCTGGTGGTTTGGTTGGTTTTAGGGATGCACGATATTGGATTTTTGGCCGATATCCGATACCAATACTGATATTTTCCTAGACCTACTTAAAGAGACTGCATAGCTTTCTCTGCTGTGGAATTAAAATACATTATTCTGCATGGTCTTTGTCAGTTTGGCCTGCTACCAAATGCAGATGCCAAAAAGGGGCTGAAAATGATGCAACACTTCGACTTGGATTATGTTTAATGTCCAATTTGTTCGTGACATTTACTCCCTCTAACACAATGAAAACACTCAAACAGTGCAAATTTGTAAATTTTCACAAATCTAACCTGCTCACAAGGACAAGTGCATAAGTAGTAGTGCATTAATAGATATACTTGAAAGTTTATTACATTAAAAATTAACTTAAAACAGAATCCTTTTATATTGCTGAGTTATTTTGATGGAATGGCCGATGTCTGATATTTAACTTTATCGCCAACATCGACCGATACCGATACCATGCCGATAATATCGTGCATCCCTAGTTGGTTTATATATATAAAACTACAAAAGAATAAAACATGGTGGTGGCCATCTTGGATTTTGACATGGCAACCCAATTTTTGAAAGAAACTTTTCTTATGCCTAGACACACCAGGATGTAAGTCAGTACCTCACTTAGTGAAGTTGTCATGCTCACAACACAGACGGACTGATGGAGCAAATTTTCATTTCCCCCCTCCCTCACACATGTTTGTTAGGATGGCACAATTACTTAATTTGAGAACCTGGGCGGGATCAGTTACCTGAAGCATGAATAAAGTATTGCGTTATGCTTTGATTGACAGACTGTTAGCCAGTTGGGAAGAGGTGGAGGCGGGACTTTTGTACTGAGGGCTCAGACTCCAACTCTAAAATTCAAGATGGCGGCTCCTACAAAAGGGAAATGTTGGCTCCAGTCTCGAACAATAAGAGGAGACGTCTTTATGTGCCTTACTCAGCTTGTTCTCAAATTTCCAGCTCAAAGCAACAATTAGCTCAGAGAACAGATGTTCGCAAACATCACCTCAGTTTTCTTTGTAATGAGATCCGTGGACAGGTTTGACAATCACATATTTTTTACTCTTTCTTATAAAAACTGTCCATTCTGATGTTGTCGAGCAGAAAGCAATGACAGAAGGTTGTGTTATCAGGAAACTGTTTTTGCTCTCTGCTGCATGATGACTCTAATCAATCCTGCCCATTTGAGTTTCGTTTCTCATCATCCAGAGTGAGGGGCCTTACATCATCGTCATCCCGAGAAGTTTGTCATTACAAGTCATCTTAGCTTACAGGTCATCTTATCTGTTGTTGGATTTAAAGTGAGGAAGGAGCCAAAAAAAAGAGTCTGACTCCATGTTTCAGCTTCAGCTTTAATCAGTTTCAGCTTCAGATGGTTCCAAACCGCATCAGTGTTTGCATAGCTCTGCATCATCTTTGATATACGTGAGAAGAAATGAAGCGTGCTGCTTTAAAAGAAGCACAGCAACCATCATCAAAGACAAGCTCATCAGTCTGAGGTCACATTAAAGAACAAAGGAGCCTGGGTGCCCCTGAGCAAGGCACTTAGCCCTGATTTCTGCAGGGAATATGCTCAGAGTGCGGCGGGAAGAGGGAGGAACAGGAAACTGACCTGACAAAGGTTTGAATTCAACAGGTGAGTTTAGAGATTAATAAAGGCTCCGCACTCAACAGAAACTAAACATGGAGCTGAGAGTTTGAAATTAAAAATCCTGGAGTCTGCCTGAGAGGCTGAGGGTTTGATCTCTGATGAACTTCCTGTCTGACCTCTGAGGAACTTCCTGTCTAACCTCTGATGAACTTCCCGTCTGATCTTTGATGAACTTCCTGTCTGACCTCTGGTGAACCTCCCGTCTGATCTTTGATGAACTTCCTGTCTGACCTCTGATGAGTTTCCTGTCTGACCTCTGTAGAACTTCCTGTCTGACCTCTGATGAGTTTCCTGTCTGACCTCTGTAGAACTTCCCGTGTAGATCCTGACAAAAGTTCTTAAAGAGGAAGATTACGTTCTACAAGCAGTGAAGAACAACCAACACCTCTGTCCACATCTGGACTCCGTGTAGGAGACATGAACATGAGTTCAGATCAGGTGACAGAAGTGGGCGGGGCTTAGATAATGTCAGGATTGTGATGTGCTGACTGTAATCAAACGTGGACAGTTGGATTCTTTATATATTCATGGCAACCCTCCAGAAAGACAAACAGTTACAGAAGAAGAATCAGGACAAAAGTCTTGAGAAAACCCACATTGATGGCTCCACTCAGAAAGGTCCCTGACTGGGATTCAAACCAGCGACCTTCTCACTGAGAGGCGGCAGCTCTACCAACTGCATCAGCATCTGTGGTCCAACTAAACTAAAAGTTAAAGCTACAGAAGGACATTTTTTAAATCTTTCAGGATCTTTTTAGCTCCCTCAGATCAGTTTTTTTCTTTTGTTCCAACACTCCAGATGTAAATCAGGATTAATATTAATGCTGTCATTTGTGACTATATGAAGTCTTGATGATGGCTGCTGTGCTGAACTTTGTCTTATTATTAAGATTAATATTAGTACAATCTTATTATTATTAATGATGTGTGTGTGTGTGTGTGTGTGTGGTGTGTGTGTGTCAACAGAGAGATTATACACATCACGAGACACGAGTGTGTGAGACAGAGATACTTTGTCCTCTGTCCTTGGTATGGGTTCTGTGTTCAGTGGACTTTCTGTGGTTCTAACTGTTGTTAACTTGTTGTTCCAGTTTTATCAAAGTGCATTCTCTCATCCCTGAATCATGCAGAGGGATGGAACAGAAAAGAGAAAACTTACAGCAATAAATAGAAGATTATTCCTTATGTGGAGGCATACAAGCGTAGTAACGAGCAATGCATAGACACACGGGTTCTAACAAGAACAATCTCAGGGTTCACCACATGTTTCTTCTATCACACAAAATAAAATCTTCAGGAAGTAGAATCTAAACCTGACTCAAGAAGATCTTTGCATCATCATATCTGTATTTACTGGCAAAGTTCTTACATCATATCTGTTTACTGGCAAGGTTCTCGCATCATATCTGAGTTTACTGGCAGGGTTCTCTCATCATATCTGAATTTCCAGGCAAGGTTTCTACATCATATCTGTTTACTGGAAGGGTTCCTACATCGTATCTCTTTACTGGCAGGGTTCTTTCATCATATCTGAGTTTACAGGCAAGGTTCCTACATCATATCTGTGTTTACTGGCAGGGTTCTCTCATCATATCTGAGTTTACAGGCAAGGTTCCTACATCATATCTGTGTTTACTGGCAGGGTTCTCTCATCATATCTGAGTTTACAGGCAAGGTTCCTACATCGTATCTATTTACTGGCAGGGTTTTTTTCCCATCATATCTGAGTTTACAGGCAAGGTGGCTACATCATATCTGGTTATTGGCAGGGTTCTCTCATCATATCTGAGTTTACAGGCAAGGTGGCTACATCATATCTGGTTATTGGCAGGGTTCTCTCATCATATCTGAGTTTACAGGCAAGGTGGCTACATCATATCTGTTT